TTTTGTGAGGTTTAACCTGAGATTCTGGCATTTCGGGCTAAATAAATTTACATTTAAAAAATCGATTCATTAAAAAAAATCAATTCAGGATTTTTATGAATCGATAAATCGATTATCAAAACCCACCCCCTACTTTATATGCAGTGCCCTTTGACCTCATAACATTGTTTGTATTATGGTATCAAAAGAGTTCAATTTTGGTCTCATCTGATCAGACTATATTCTCCCAGTATTTCACAGGCTTGTCTAAATGTTGTTCAGCAGACTTTAAAATCAACATGCTTTTTCTTCAGAAATTGAGTTTTGTGTGGTGAGCGTTCAAATAGGCGATGTTGGTTAAGCATTGCTTATTATTTTCTTTAAAAAAAATCTTGCCTGCTGATTCCAGATCTTTCTATAGGTCTCCACAAGTGCTCCTTGGCTCTTAGAAACTCTTCCGAATTCTTTTTACTCCTCTGTCTGAAATCTTGCAGGGAGGATCTGATCATGGCCGGTTTGTGGTAAAACGATGTTCTTTCCACTTCCACATTATGGCCCCAGCAGTGCTCACTGCAATTTTCAGTACTTTAGAAATTCCCCTGTGACCAATGCCATCACAATGTTTTCCAACAATAAGGTCGTGACAGCCTTATGAGAGCATAGTGGCTTCACCCATCATGAGATGTTTCTTGTGTGGATGGCTTGTCTGAACCAGATGATATTAATTTGCACTTCGTGACAGGATTGGTTTCTAATTTCTGACAGATTTCAGCTGGTGGCATTATTTTCCGTGCCTTTTTTGCAACTCCACTTTTTTGTGTTCAATACTTTTTCCTTTTGTCATTTCCCATTATTACACATAACTTGATTTATGGACATCTATGGTTTGATTTCTTTGCATGTGTGGATTGGATGGTTTGTTACTTACATTGGGTGAGAATTTCATGTCAATACCGCCTTTAAAAATATATTTACTTAGAAATGTGGTTTAGTTTTCCATATTTATTTTACCTGCTGTAATTACTCGACTTCATAATTTTACTGTTGTTTGTTATTATAAATCTGACCCATTTTGATGTGTTCTGTGTTACAGTGGTTGAAAGCCAGGATAATTATGGAGTGACTTACACTTCTACTCAGATCTGTGCTGTAAAAGGATCAACAGTGGACATAGGCTGCTCCTTCAAACACCCTTCAAGATATACGTATTTATGGAACACAGTTTGGTTCACCAAAGGAAATAATAATAACCCAGATGATCTGAAAACAGACCCAGTGTATGCAGGTCGAGTGTCGTACAGTTCTCACTGGAAGAGCTGCACTCTGACAATCAGAGACCTGAGAGAGAGCGACTCAGCTGTGTACAAGTTCAGGTTTGAAACAAACCAGAAAAGTTTTACTGTTTTACCTGGAGTCACTCTGACTGTCACAGGTAACATTTTTATTTACACATCAGTCAAAACCTATTATTACCATGACTGTGTGCATTTGCATTATTGATAATGGATGTCTACGTTTCTGCTCTGATTTTATTTCTTCACATAATCAGTTCTTCAGGTACACGTGGACACATCATCATATCCTGACTCAGCAACACTGACTTGTCGGGGCAGTTGTCGACTAAATAATCATTTCTTCTATGCCTGGTACAAAAATGGTCAGAAAATTTCTAATCAGTCAGACCAGTACTGGTATACAGACAATCTGAATCCTTCAGATAGCTACTCCTGTGCTGTAACAGGTCATGAAGATTTCTCCTCTCCTTCAGTGTGTGAGTTTATTTCAGTAACATAAAACCATCTCATAGAGTCATTACATACATCTGAATAAAAACAGTCAAACTCACAGTAACTACTTTCTAAATCTGACTTAAATATCATTTTATGTTTCAGGTGTCCGAGGTGATTCATGCAACAGAGTGAATTACAGCAACAGAAGAATCTGTGCAGTCAAAGGCTCATCAGTGGACATTTCTT